TAGCCATTGATCTAAGCTCATCCAATGGTCCATATATATCCACACGTTGGGGAAGCTATCGCACCATATGAAATGTGTTTGAGTAAAAGTAGTATCTTTGTTTAGTATTTACGGAGTAGTAAACAAGCATTTAAATTTGTGTGTGTGTGTGAAAATAGCTTAATTAAATGACATAAAATGACATTATAAGTAGCTATTTTGTGGTATAATTATTAGTGGAGTTTATTTTCGATTTGGGTCGGGTCAAAGTGAATTTAGGTTATTCGTAGTGAGACGAAGAGATTGATATATTGTATGCTCAAAACGGATAATGGGTGAATGAGAAATTGATTATCAAAGTAGACCCATTTGAGTTAGAAAAGTGAAGGGAAAAAGGCTTTGAAGAAGCTTTTGTCCCACATTGGTTTGGGAAGTGAGTTTCTACCACTATTTATATAAGAGTCTTTTAAAAACTTATTATTGAATTATAAACATAGAGATTATCTCTCGTGCCTTGCGATCTGGAAACCTAAGTTGCTCCTAGCCTGGTTTTCTTTAAAGAAATAGTGATTCAATTTGTGCTAACCACCCACCCGAATTATCCATTCGTCCTTATTTTATTTGGTAAAAAAATTGGCCTATATAGGCCAATTTTGACTTATTTGACCATTATTAATTGTTTGATTTAGTTTGGTTAATTAATTAGCTTTTTGCAACTCTAAAATACTAAAATTCAAAAAGCTACTCCAAACAACTTTTTCAATTAGCTTTTTCATAAAAGAAATTATACCAAACAGCTATCAGCTAATAGCTAATTTACCAAATACTTTTCTACAACAGTACAGTTAATGTTATCAACTAATTATACCCTCTAATATAATAAACACAATCAGCTAACAACTATCAGCTGCCCAGCCATTTAACAAACAGAGCCTTTATGTTTTGTGGTGATTCTTTCACACTATATATTTCATTATTCAAAATAGAAGAAGGAATTGCATGCAAATTATTAAAGAATTTGAATTGAATAGTGGATACAAGATAAACTAACAAACAAAGATAATAGAAAGTAAACCGGACGATAAAGTAGAAAAGTATGTAACCATGCATATAGTGCATCATTGGAGGTAGAAAGAAAGAAATTAAAGGTGGCATAGAAGCTAGCTAGTGTGATTCCATCCACTGACAGATGAATAGAGATAGGGTAGACATGGTGTTAGGATAGGCCAAAAGGACAAAAACATAAAAACAGTTGGATAAAAGCTTATATTGGATCAAAGACAATGAGATGGTGATCCATTCTATTTATGACATTCCCATTAAGTGGAGTTGAGCTAGATGTTTCACAACCTTAACTTGGCTTCTACCTGCCTCACCTGTCTTTGTCACTGCCTCTCATCTCTCACCTTCTTTAATTTCCTCAAATTATAAGCTCACAATTGTTGGACAGGGCACGTAAATTAAAGGGGCTATGTCCAGTACCCGATGCTTAAGGTTGTTGGACGGAGACTGATAAAGCCTTTAAGGGTCAAGTCCCAATAGTTATATTGTGGCATAAAACTGTGTTCACCATGCGCAGGGTGAACACATGATAGATTCATAATTTCTATACTGTAAATTCATAACATCTATATTGTAGATTCATAATTTCTAGATTCATAATTTCTATGCTGTAGATTCATAATTTATATACTGTAGATTCATAATTTCTGTACTGCGAAGACGAAATAATGCGATTGCGAAGAGAGAAACGTCGTTAACAACAAATGAAAAACAAAATTATGAATCTACATCATAGAAATTATGAATCTACCCATATATTCACCATGCACATGGTGAACACGTTTCCACAACATAATTTGCGGGTCAAGTCCAGCATCCAGCCTGTTTCGAACAATGTGATGGCGGTCTATAAGTAAAGAAATAAATTACGTCTTCGCTATTAGCTATGAATCAGTAAGTGGTAAACGTTTGATCCTAACATTACAATTTTTCTTACTTTTCTCTCTCTCCCTCTACGAATTTGAAAAATCATATTGAGCTTGTACGGCAACTTTAATTTTTCAAGTTACCATTCGTATACCAGCTGGCCTGCCTGGGTTAATAATACAATGTTGAAGAAGATGAAAGTTAAAACCTAACTCAGATGGTGAGTTTATTTTTACCCCGTTTTGCACCCTCCTTTCCAGTAACAACTAACAAGTTCTGATCTCTTCTTCCATATCTATCTGATCTTCCACAGTTCCACGCAAAGCCCTCGCCAGCTACACGCACTATCACGCGCTCCTCACCAAATTAATATAAAATATAAAATATAAAATTGCACCTCTGCTAGGTTCACTTTAAAATCTGGCTCCAACAGTAATGTGGGAGTTCGAATCTCACTAATAATTTTGGGAGTCATTGAGTGTACAACTAATTTAATGGTAGGAACTTGGAACTAATGGGGGTGACTTGTGAGTTACCTTCTCATGCACTCTTGACAAGGATTTTGAGATTTTAAATTAATCCGACATAAGTTGAGATACCTAATTAATGTAATGAGTTAATTCTAAAAATGATTACTATAGACATTTTTTAATTTTTATCATCGACTTTCAATTGAATCATAAATGATTCATTGACTATTGATCTTTACCAATTTTCATCATCGACTTTCAATTTGATCATAAATGATCTATTGACAATTGTTTTTGTTCCAAATTTGATCATTCAGTTAATTATTCATTTAGTAAACATACATAAAATTTAGTCCTTCTGTGAGTTAATCCGTTTAACACCGTTCACAGAAGGACTAAATTGACTAACGGGAAAATAATTAAGGGAACAATTCTGTCCAAATTGAGAAGTTGGGATCACATTGCATTTTGAGCACTAATTGGGGGGGCCAAAAGTGCGATTTTCCCTTTGAAAAAATTAAATAAATTATCCCAGAAATATAGGTATAAATATTGTTGGATATGGGTGAAAAATAACACATCAAAATTTTATAAAAATGCTCATAACAAAATATTTGAAACATAATTTATTTGATAAAATAATTTGAATAGAGAACACATTATAAATTACACGTCTCATTATTAATATAAGAGAACGTTATGTGTGTGTGTGCGCGCGCGCGCGTGCGTGTGTGGAGCCAAGAGAAACTGTGAAACCTGAACCTTTATTGTTTACTTTGCCAACTAATCTACTTCTTGTTAATATTCATCTGTTTCTTTATACTAATACTAAAATTTGTACAATTATACTATATATACATACAAAGGTTATATGTGGGGTGGGGTAGGGGGAGGGGGGCAGGGAAACTTGTACAGTTGTACTATATAAATACAAAGGTTATATATAGAGTGGGGGTGGGGGTACCTGCCCCCCTCCCTATAATGTTGATGCTAGGAAACGAACCATGATGTATGGATTAGAGGTTAGGACCACAAACCACTAAACCAGTGGAGATTGAGTGAATCAAGGATGATGCCTTAAAGGGAGGGAATGGTGCATTATATAGTGTAGAGGCCTTCTAGATGGTTGACAATTGTACGGCATCAATAAACCTTCAATCTTGGCCATACAGGCGTCCTTCACTACCTGGATGTCAGCGATCTTTAAACGGGTAAATAGAGTATCATGTCTTTTTGTACTTAAGAAATAGAGTGGCTTAATGATTTGAAATGTGTGTTGTTATGTTAAAGGTCATGAGTTTGAACCTTGTTGACAGTACCTTTATTTTTTAATATATTTTGTTCCAAACTTCCCTATCTCCAAGCAATAAAATACACTCCGCTGATCCAAACTTTTTTTGAAAACTTTTTATTTTATTAGAATACAACACAAAAATGTTTTCAGATGAGTTTGAAAAAACAAACGTGTCCTGTTCGAAGTCACGTTACCCTCTAATAAGTACCATGTATGGTTTATACTTAATGCTCAGATAATGAGAAATCAATTGTAAGGTTTTAACTTTTCCATAATTGGGTATAATAAATATCTACCCCGGCCAAATACATGGACCAATAATTTGAAACTATTTATGGTATAAGTATTAATAAGGAAATATATATTATGCATTTTATCAATGAAAAGAATATAATTTTATTCATAATACTATTGTGTACCTCACGGTCCTCACATAGTGGTTACAACAAAATTACTTATTGTGTACTCTGTATATTGAAACGAATTTAGATTGCACATATAAATTATTTATCAAAACCAAAAATTGAATATACTATTTCTTTTTGGGAAAATCAATTAAACCTTTAAATTTTTTAAAGATACAATTACATCCATCAACAATTTATTTTTGCAATGAAACCCAAAAACAAGTTAATGACCTGTTATCACAGGTCATTAGGGTTCATGCCACCCTTAGGTGAATTTTCTGACAAAAAAAAAAAAAAAAAAGTGACGAAGACACCAAGGTCGTCTTCTCCGGCGAGAAGCGACCCAGATTTGGGTCTCATTCTCGTTGGAGAAGGCAACCCATATGTGGTGCCTTTTCCGGTTGAGAAGGCGACCATTGGGTTGCCTTCTCGCCGAACTTAGATCTGGGTCGCCTTCAACTATAGTGATTTTTTTCGATTTAGTCCTTGATTCTAATCGCCGATGACTCAATTGAGTCAAACCGTCGAAATCGATGACCTAATTAAACAAAAAAAAATATTTATAACTAAATTAAAAAAAAAAAACCGCTATAATCAAACATTAAATTGAGTATTAATTCATAAATGAGCATACATGTAACTTTGTAAGTAGCCACATCCCACAACCACAAGGCCAATTGGCAGCATTAAGAGTGTAAAGCGTTTATAGCCCCCACTTCCACTTTCCGACTCCATCCACTATCTCTTCTCATTCAACTCAATCTATTACCATAGTATATTTCCCAGGCAGTTTTATTAGATTTGGATCGGATAAAAATTTATAATTAGTTACTTGAGTAGTTAGAAACACCGTTTATAAGGTGTAACCGTCATTCATATCCATCCAAGAATTTCAATTCGCCAAGAAGTTCGATCAGAGACATGGTAGTTTCACGTGGGAGAGACGACGATGGGACCAGCAACGCCGCCGCCGTAGTTCCAAGAAAGAACCACCACCGCAGCGGAGATGACGGCGGCGGAGATGAGATCGTGTGCACGGGGAAGGCGTGCAAGTCATGCACGGCGGGGATGATCGCCGACTGCGTGGCGGTGTGTTGCTGCCCCTGCGCGGTGGTGGACATCCTGGTCCTGGCATTGTTCAAGGTCCCGTGGACGCTGGGCCGGAAATGGCTGAAGAGGAAGAAGAGAAACGGCGGCGGTTCTCGGCGGATATGCAGTCGCCGGAGCGACGGGATTCCGAGAATGGGAAGCGTGGAAGACGAGACATCGGGAATGGGATCGTCCGTGTCGGTGTTTGGGATTCGAGAACAAATGGGAAAAGACAATTTTAGTGCAAGGTTTGATTCCGAGGAGGTTTGGTTAGACTTGTATCAGGTTGGTCATTTGGGGTTTGGAAGGGTTTCTTTCACTGAAATTCCACCTCAATGCAATTAAAGGGCAATTAGGAAATTTTGATATACTCTTGATTACATATGCTATCTAGTTTCAATTAAGGGTTTTGAAGTACAAATTGTATATGTTGGGAGCAGTTGGGCAGAGGCCTGAAAGACCAAGTTTAACATCTTATCTCTCGAAAATGAATGTGGCGGATGGGTATTGTTGAGCAAAGGTCTGAAGGGTTAAGTCTAACAAGTTGCGTTTTTTGTTAAAAACTATAACTTTTGGCGTAATTAATTGATTCTAACACCTGGTATCATAGCCAATTCACGGGTTTCAATTTATTTTTCTTGGTACTATTGTAATGGACAAAAAATGAATATAGAAAAGTCTAGCTACATGCCTACATTGTATGTATTAAGGAAATGAATGGTTTTAATTAGCATTATATTATTTGAATTGGGCAGCTAACTTCTGACTTTTTTCGGTACATATGATAAAAGTATTAAACTAATGATTTTTAATTTTACAGAATTACAAATTATATCATTTGAATTGAAGCATGTGGTCCCTGCTATTATCGATCAATACGTGAACCATAGCCTCTTTTTACTGGGTGGCGCAAAGATTCAAACCTAACAAAATTAAAACATATGTACATCTCAACTAAAAGATTAAACGGATAGTGTATTGCAAATTTGTGTGTGTGTGTGTGTGTGTGTATATATATATATATATATATATATATATATATATATATGCTTAACATTTTGTGTATAAAGTGTTCTTGTATTTAGAGATCTAGATGATACATATGAATGGCTCGCACTTGAATAGGAAAAGAAAAATATTTCATCATTTGACTAGTTGTCGTCTTGAAAATGTATAAATATTTATAATTGCAATAATAGTGTAAATACAAATGAGTTATTTTCACTTTTGGACTATTGAATCATTTTCACATTTAGTTTCTGACTATTAATTTTTTCATTATTGGTCTCACGATTATTAGTTCATTTCCAAATATTATTGGTGCTAAAATCTAACATTTACATAAATTAATGAAGAAATGTTGAAGGGCATTGAATATATGTTGTACGAGCAGGCAGCAAAAAATTTCACGTGACTGCGGGAAATGACAATCGAAGACTCCATAAGCCATGTAAGTTTGTTACTTCAAAATGGAATTATATTTCAGTCTGCACAATCACTCTGTGTGAGTTTGTCAGTTAATTACAACTAGCAAAATCGAAAAAGGTAGCCCATACGTTAATAAGTATGTATGTTAAGCGCGTCACTCTTCCCCCATAGTTTTTGGCAAATTTTACTGACTACCATGGTCCACACATCTATGTGATTGTGTGAACATGGTCCAAAACAGTACCGTTTCTTTTAAGAAAAAAAAAAAAAAGCACATGTTTTGTGTAATTATCTCGATTAATACAACATATTCAATTTTATTTTTTATACACATTGTAGTTTTATTCCAACACAATTAAAGTTTCATTTTGTTTCAAGTACAGTTTAATTCGACATTATACATGCAATAGTCTTATTACAATGAGACATATTATTGAATTTCATTTTATACTCATTGTAGTCTTATTACAATACTACTAAATTATAATTCTAATTCAACTACGGTTTCATTAGACAATATACACTCAAGTATGTGAAATTGTTATTTAGTTTCATTTTATATATACTGTAGTTTCATTACAATGCAACTAAAATATCATTTTGATATAACTACAGTTTCATTTGAAAATATACACTCAATATGTGAGACATGTTATTCAGTTTCTTTTTATACATATTGCAATTTCATTTCAACACAACTAATGTATCATTTCAATTCAATTACAGTTTCATTTGATAATATATGCGAGACAAATTCTTCAGTTTAATTTTAGATACACTGTAGTTTTGTTTTGTTATAAGCACACAAAAAAACGGGATTTGTTAAAATATAACGTCAACCGTTTCTTTACTTAAAGAAAGACGTCGTTTTCGGACCATGGTCCACGGCATAACAACGGATAGTTATTCTCTTTAGGGATGACAATTTTAATCTGGCTCGTGTATATTATGATACATCTTGTATGGATAAGTTTTTTTGGATGATAGTGGGTGGTGGGTGCTAAAAACAAAAAATCCACATGGTTGACCTTTTGGTCGATGACAATGTTTTCCGGTAAGATTTCGCCGGTCAACGGCAAATATATGGTCAACCATGTAATTTTACCGTAACCGGTTTAGTCACCGGTAAATTTTATTTATTTGACAAAAAATAACATGTTTGAAGGTTTAATTGTACTTTTTAAAAGTTTAGGTGCCTAATTAATTTTTGGCGTAAAGTTTAAAAGTCTATTTGATCATTTTCCTATATTATATAGGGAGTATATTGAATCATTTGTACATATGAAGTGGTTTTGAAGATAATATATTTGATATGTTACCTCGTCTTTCCCTCTAATTTTGTTGCTTTACTTTACACTTTGTTTCATATGGATAAATCTGTTTCACCGAGGAGTGCTACGGGCTAAAGGGAGCGAAATACAACAATACAATGTTATTCGATTGTGATATGTTTTTAGATTAAACCAATTATTATAAAAATCATAGGAGAATGGTTCAAATTAGTCACCGAATTATACATAAAAGTGTAATTGAGTCATCCTACTAAAAAAAGTATAATTGTGAATATTTAATATATAAACGTGTGAACATTCAATACGTGAATTGTGAACATCAGTATGTAAATTGTAAATATTCAATATATAAATTTTTTAGACCCGGATCCACAGAATAATTTATCGTCTTTTGGGCATAAAGTATCGAGCAATAATAATAATAATAATAATAATAATAATAATATTATTATTATTATTATTATTATTATTATTTGAGTATGAATAAAGAAATTTGAACTCTAAGATCCAATCATTATTGTGTGGACCATGGCTACATAAGTTGTGTGAACTATATTTTGTATGTTATAAAATAATGTATTAATAGTTTTTTTTTTAAAAGTACATTTAATACACAAATAATGTACTTTTAATATATTAATAATGTATATGGTATTTAGGTAAAGTACATTATTTGAGTACTGAAAGTACATTATTTTGTATAATGTTCATTCAATACATAAATAATGTACATTTAATATATTAAAAATATATTTAGCACTAAAATAATAATGATAAAAATTAGTAAGAATTAAACATGTAAATAGAAACAGCTATTTTACTAATATGAACCAAAATTCGTATTTGTTCTATGGATAACGTTATATTCTTTATGATTTTGTTTTTGGTACACCGTTAAGTTACAAGATTATTGCTCCGTTTCCCTCTTTCATGTGGCGATGGCGGGTGCGACTATGCTCCACTCATCGTTTCAATCTCTTCTTCCCTCGCTGGCTCGTCGGTATTCTCTGCTCTTCGATAGCTGTTTCCATTCCCGCCGGCTCATGTCAACTGGCCGTCCCTTCCATTCCATAAGCCGTAATAAACCTTCACCGCTCGCCGTTCGAGCGCAGGCTAGGCGAAGCTTATCTTCGAATAAAGTCATCAAGGATGAACTTGCATCTCGTAAAAACCTCTTTTTTCTACTTTTTCGAAAATTTCAATGCACAACTTTAGTTCTATTGACTGATTATTTATTTATTTATTTTTATTTTGTGGTTAGTGGCCGATTTGTGTTTTGAGGGGCCTCTGAAAATTGTAGAATATCCGGATCCTATACTTAGAGCAAAGAACAAAAGAATTGGAACGTTTGATGATAATTTGAAGAAGCTAGTAGATGAAATGTTCGATGTAATGTATAGGTGAGTTTTGTGGCCTTCCTAATCAGTCTCTGGAGTTAGGAAGATTGATAGCAAGATTGTTAGGCGTGAATGCTCATGATTTGGAGTGGTTTGAATATTTTTTTTTTTCCCTCATTGAAGTTCTTTGTTCATACCCTATTTTGCAGAACTGATGGCATTGGGCTGTCAGCACCGCAGGTTGGAATTAATGTTCAGCTTATGGTATTTAATCCGGTTGGTGAGCGGGGTGAAGGAGAGGAAATTGTTCTTGTAAATCCACGGGTCACCAGATATTCCAGAAAGGTGCTGCCATATAATGAAGGTTGCTTATCTTTTCCTGGGATTTATGCTGATGTAGAGGTATTAATACAATTATCTATACTAATGATTTTCTAATCTTTCCCTACTATTGACCTTAAACTCATTATTGGTTGGATGCATGATGATTACTCATTTTCTTTCCTCATTCTCTTATTAGCAAGCTCCACAAAGAATTCCAATTTTAAGCTGCTTGCATGAAAGGATGGAGCTTTTCTTGCTTGGAACATGAACTTCTGTGTCATATCTAGCAATCACATGCATGTGCATTTTCCCTCTGTAACAATCTTTCTGGAAAGAAAAATAGGTCAACAGAATAAAATCAAGTACCTTGTTAGTGTTCCCTATGGAAATTGGCTATTTTTCATTACATTAGGATCTAGCTTCACGTCAAAAAAATTCAACAGACCTCCATGTATGTTCTGTATCCTATAGTCTTGGGTTTATTTGACACTTACATTTTGTTATTTATGACTGACTTGCTCCTTATTACCTGGTGGGTATAGTATTTTCAACCTGTGCTCCCTATGGAAATTGGCTATTTTTCATTACATTAGTGTCTAGCTTCATGTCTGGAACATGCAATATGACTCCTTGTATGCTCTGTATCCTACACTTTAGGGTTTATTTGGCACTTACATTTTGTCAGATGAAGGATGTCCTTTCAATTTAATTTTCTTTGAATTTATGTCGCACTTGCTCTTGATTACCTGATAGGTATATTGCTTTCAACCTTTCAATGGCTGCTTAATGGTTTAATGCCTAATTTTCCAACCATTGGAATTATTTTTTATATATCAGAGGGGATAGGATGGATTCAAACTCTAGAAAAGGATTTAGCTTACCAAGCTAAAGCTTATATCCCTTGAATAATTGCAAATAGCTAGTATGAATCTGCCCATAAGCTGCTTCAACACTAGATTCATGAACTGCTGAATGTACTTAAATGTTCTTCGTTAACGTGAATTTTGACGGACTGGGTTGTCCATATTTTCAATTCCAGAGACCAGATTCTGTGAACGTAGATGCACAGGATATAAATGGGGCAAGGTTTACAGTTGGATTGACAAGGCTTCCTGCACGGGTCTTCCAGCATGAATATGATCATTTGCAGGTGCTTCTTTAGGAAGTTTGCTGTATTATTATTTCAACTGATATTTCTCAAACTTAGGCTCAATTTGGATGAGCTTATTTTCATCTTATTTGGGCTTACCTACTACTGTTAAGGACATAGATTTCTTTGCTACTGTGTTTGGATATGCTTACAAAAAGAGTGTGTGGATTTCAAAAAGCTGTTTTGAGCTTATTTCTATAAGCTATATTTCAAGTATCTTTAAACGTAAAGCTGAAAAACATTTATACATAAGTCAGTTGAAATGCTGAACTTATTTAAGCTCTTTTAAGCTTATTTCATGGAACTTATTGTTCAGTGCATATCAGAAGAACTTTTAAGTTGTTTGTCCAAATGGAGCCTTACATTATTTAGAAAATTAGAACTCTCATTCAAAAGCTATGATCCTGTTTTCATTCTAATTTAGATGCACAAAGACATATTCCTTTTATATTTTTTTGGGGCAACGAGGGTAATCCATAGCCACAACCCGAGGGTGTGCATTGGATAACCCCACTCCTGTGTGTATTAGTCTGCAAACCACATATGAGAGGTAAACCGCACTAGGAAGACCCTGTGTGACTGGCTCGACCGAGAATGTGTTGGAAAGAATCAAATGCATGACCTTCTAGTACAAGAATCATGCTCCACCCACTCGTTCACCCCTTTTGTGAATGTAGGGTTAGGTGATTGTTTAAGTTGTTTTATGATTTCTGAAGTGTTTTTCTCTTCTTCTAATACTAGTGCACTTTGCAGGCTAAAACATCATATTTAGATTGCCATGACTGCCCTTGACTATGTACTATTAATGATTGTGCAGGGAATTCTTTTCTTTGACCGAATGTCTGATGAAGTCCTAGACACTGTGCGGGAAAATTTAGAGGTTGGTACATCAATTATACAGTTATCTATTCTTCTAACGTTTTATATTGTATTTTGATGTTCTTGAAACTTGGATGTGACATCAATACAAGATTTTATCAAGTCTATTGAAATTTTGAAAATTAGTTTGCTTATCATTGTTTCTGGCATTACCAGGCTTTGGAAAAGAAATATGAGGACAGCACTGGGCTGCCAAGCCCTGAAAGGATAAATACCCGGATAAATACCCGCAAAAGAAGGCAGGCTGGTGTTGGATTTGGAAAATCATGAAGAACACTGGAAATTGTGAGTTGCTGCAGTTTTGGAATATTAGAGAATTTTCTTGTCTAGAATCCCTAGGTTTTTTATTGTACCAACATGTGAAACTTTTACTTTTTATATATCAAGTTAACATTATTGGGTGAAGTACAAGTTTTAATACAAGTGTTCGTGCACTTTGTGAGCTATTGGTTCATTATACCCTTATTAATTTTTGTTGCTCTATGATGTTTTTTTTTTCTTTTTTGAGTCATTGATACTCTGATTGGAAATATTTTGTCTGATGTATTGCTGTAATAATAATAATAATTACCTTATTGTGACATGATCTGCAAAGACAATTGTTAACTTTGCAACATTTAGTGTTTTACTTATATGACTGCAATGTATTCTCTCTCTTGGGATAGTCCATTGATAGCATTTCAACATGGAGTAATAATTTCCTAAATATTGGTATAGTCTTATTGAAGAGGAAGTCATTCACCTTCTCTCTCCATTTATGTTGTAATAATCTATTCGCCTACCTCGTTGAACCTGCTGAGTTCAAAATAGCAGTTTTTTTTTTGGGGTCCAGTTATTCTTTGTTTTTATCTGTCTCAAGTAATGCAGCACCATGACTTGTTTAGTTTTTACCAAATGGAACTTGCTGTGGTCGCAATCCTGCTGTTGTAAGTTGTCATTGGTTACCTAAGCTCTTCTCTGGTGACTTGATATAATAATTGTTCACATGCACCTGAATTCTTACCTCTGTAAAGGGGATTAAACAATTCTGTCATACATATCGTAGATATTATTTGCCATATTTTCAAGTGGATATTCTCACTATTTGTGTAATCTAACTTTAAGGAGGGTTTTGGTTCAGTATACACTGAATTTTCTTTGTCCAAACATCTCTGACAAGAATGCTATATACCAACCATTTAAGAATATAGAAATATAAATTTCATATTTTTATGCTGGTAGTGACTGTTATAATTTATATGCCTTGGGATATATAGGAGATTGTTTTATTTTCTTTGTCAACAAGAATCAACAATCTTCTGTGGTTGCGTGGTTGTCCTTAAACAATCTATTCTTGGTGTAGTGCTTGTTTTCAGTTCTCCATAAGTTTCCCAGCAGAATGGATCATAAACTTGCTTTCCTGGTAATGGATTCAGCTCTACTGTTGCCAATGTTACACCTGTGCAGGGCAAGGAGTCACTACAAGCAAAATGGACGGGTTTTGACGTATATGTTCCTTTTATGAACTGGTACGATATATCTGCCACTGCTACTGCTGATGTTTGGTTATGGCATTTGCCTCCATCACAATAAAATTGATCAATCATGATAGGTGTCTCAACTCCATAAACTTGAATATTAGAGAACATGATACCTTGGACCATGCCTGATCCACCCTGTGGTTTATTACAACAACAATCAGTATCTTAAGAGAGATTTATTGTGATTGACAGATACTAATAGGTTGGAAGAGATTTAGAGGATTTAAATTAAAAGAAGTTTGTTGTACCTGCCATGTCTTTATTCTTACACCAGTCATTGTGTTTTGCAGTATTGAGTCACTGACAGTGATGTTTGAAACACAGGCTTTAGTGTCACCCTTTCCAAGCCCTCCTATGCTAATTCCATGGCCAGGTCCACAGTTCACATTATGTATGTAGACAGCTGTGCATCCACTTTGTATGGAAATACAGTCATCTCCTATAAAATGTGTTCAGTATGTGATTGAATGTCAATTGGTGCAAAACTTGCTATTAATGTGGATAATAAACTTATATTTCATTGAATTTTATTAGTGCTTCCTTGTTTAAGTTGACTAATATTTATCTGATACATCTATACATGGTTTTTGATGCACTAACTGGTCTCAGTCCTGTCATGCTATTTAAAGTGATTGTATTGGCAGGTAATCTTATGTGTGATTGTGTTTATTGTTAGGAGTATGCAATTCCTTTCAATCGCCCAAAGTTTTTATGATTTTTTAACTGGTTGATGTGCTTTTATACTCTTCCTCATAAGTCAATGAACCTATTCTAAATTTTTTTTTTTCTTCTTTTCCTAAATATTTTTAGTACTCTATGTAATAAAAATGTATTTTCATGAATATTTGATCAGAGGCATCATGAATTTAATCATCTCAATTACCACAAGCAAGATTTGTGCTGTGAATGGCAACATCCTTGGAGTTCTGTAGGTGAATTCCATCTGTGTTGGGGCTGTCACCTGGGGATGAAACACTTAAATTGAAAACCTGGACCCCTGTGCAACTGTCAAACTTGAGGTGTGTTTGTGGGCTGTTTTGGATAGTGATCCCTGTTACTGTAACCTCGGTGCTTCCATAAAATCGAAGTGCCTGCATATAGATTTAAAAAGTATTGAATTGAATTTTATCCAATGTTATAGTGAAATATAGTATGAGGGTTTATCAGATATACTAACTGTTGGTTTGGTCTTTGGAAGGTTTTGGTCTACTAGATTGTCCATTGGGGAGTTATTCCACCAGACTGATCCCTGCCCATCTATGGTTCCCCGACCTCGTATTGTTATCCCTACGAGCTTTGTGAACTCGAGCCATTGAAGTAGACCTGATCCCCATGATTCAGAGCCAGTCGGAGCAATGATTTTCCCATCCAGCTGCAAAAGTTGTGGGGATTAATAGTTTAATGTATTCACCATTATTTATAACTTCATTTATGAACCCATGCAACCAGATGGCAAAGTTTTGGCGTTGAATGCCAAGCGTTTTACCTGGAAGGCTATGTGCGGTTGACAGTTTGGTCCTGAGAATGAGATGGGTTTGACAAGGAACACAGATCCTGATGGTACCAGCATTGTGGATCCCTCCCGTTTACAAGCAGCTTGCCATGCTTGTTCGAACGCCTGGTATGGATATGGTGAATTCAATTAACTATATGAGTTGAACATTCTGGGAAAAAGGAGGTACGTATTTCACACAAAACTTACTTTGGTGTCGTCTGCTTTCCCGTCACCTTTAGCACCATAGGCTAATACATTGAAAGTGGGAGAACTCACACCTTGTTCCGGTGCTGTTGCAGTAGACTCTGCTCGTAGATTGTAACCCTCTTCTGCATGTGAGGGGACTTCGCTTCTTTCAAGTTCACCTTTGTATGAAGCAAGAGGTCTGGAAATTTTTCTGTGCCTCTGGCGTGTCCCTTCTGTAGAGCACATTGCACGTTCTAAAGAGCACAGAATTAAGGTAATGAAAATGGTAAGTATTATGTTGTTTTTATTAGGCCTCATAATTATGAGTGTGGGTAGTTACAATAGCTTTTGGAATGCAAGGGAATATATAATTGCTATCTTTGGGTTGTGTTTTGTGAAGGTGGTTGTGGTCGTTTATATAGATAAAAAATGGCTGCAGTTGGATACTATGAATGATTGTATAGTACTTAATATGATATATTAAGAGATAGTGATATAAATTATAGATTGGAGCTAAGACTTCTAGTGGCAACATAATACAAACTTACAAAGTAGCTTTTGTTACCTTATTCTATGAAAACAGTATGCATTAGTGCTTTAGTGTTCAATGAACATAGTATGGATTGGCATTGCATAAGAAACTAGTACAAGAGTTAAATTTTTGGACAAGTCTAATGATCTTCGAAACTCTTTGTAAATTTCATTATTCTTTGGAAAAATTGTAATTTATGTCCCTCTATAATATGTCAATTATCAATGTCACTCTTGAATTATTAGGGGTGTAAATGTTGCCCTTCAATTTTTAAAACGGTATATATATTGCCCCTCCTGTACCGGATGAGAGGAAATGTACTTTTAATATATTAAAAATGTACTACTATGATGGACACAATAATTTGCCTGTGAGGATATGGAATTTCATAGTTTCCATCAACCATGGGACGTCTCATCAAATAATGAAGCCCAAATAGCTCTCAATTCCTAAAATCATTCAGCGCAATACAAGGGAGTGTGAATGTTTTGCACTTAGCTTCCTTCTATTATGCACGTGATAACATTTTCGTGCGGAACTGAAATATGGGATTCATTTGTCTATTCAACTTCACGGGCCAATCTTATTTCAATTATTACTTGCCTTGAAACCAAGAAAGCATTTACAATTCAAGGTATTAAACCAAAGCTCTTCTTTTTTCTTTTTTCTTTGCCCACAAAAGGTGAAATTCCACGCTCAACCGTCTCAACATCTGATATAATGATCGAAGGAAAAATCACGGTGATTCAGTCACTTCTTGAAAGGATAAATCATAGTGACTTAGGGGGGTGTATTCAATTATGACTTTCATAGAGTTTTAAAGACTTAAGTTTGGAGGTATTCAATTCAAACTTTTAGAGAGTCTTTAAAAGTCAAGCGGTATTCAGTCAATATTTTTAAAGAGTCTTTAAAAGTCGTGTGGTATTTGATTAAGATTTTTAAAGGGTAAAAAAAAAATCATGTGGTATTCAAAAGTTATGAACTTTTGTAGACTTTTCCTTCTCAAATATAAAAAGTTGAAATCCAACCATCAGCTCCAAGATTTCAAAATTTTCTTTCTACCAACTTTGAATGTTTTCTCTCTCTATTTAAATTCTATTTTCTTTGAATACACCCCCCTTAGTGATCCCTTAAGGCCTTAAGTAGAAGGACTAATGTCTAATACCCACAAGAAATTCACCATATTAGATGTAACTCTCATGTTGCCACTATCAAATCATGATCTTGCATTCTTGCCCATAACCTACCACATAAGTACCAACTGAGTTGCCCCATACGAGCACATGCACCCCTTTTTTCCTTAGTAAAAACCTTGACCCCTAGGATCTCTTAGTTACAATACAATTCTTTAATCTTTATCCACTTAACCTAATTACATTACAATAAGATTAGTATATAGTCATTTAATACAACACTAGTCGTGTTTACCATTGTTATACCATAAACTAGGATTTACCTAACATTAATTCTGGTTCAAAAATTATATGTCTGTAGTTAACATATTATGTTTTTGTAAATAAATTGAAGACACATATGTAAACTATAGATACATAATATATTAACAACATATAATATATGTGCAGTTAACATATTATGTGTTTGTATTTAACATATTATGTGCCTTCAATTTATTTACAAATACATAATTTATTAATTGCAAACATATAATATATTAACTACAAATACATAATATTAATGTCATTTTAGATCATAGTCCCCAATGCAAGGTGAACCTTGATTCATGGTATAATTTGCGTCGTGCAATAATTATACCGTGGACCATGGTGCATGTACCAATATGCATACAAACTCCTCCCTATTTTTTCACTTTATATATTTTTTAAAATT